TCTATAAAATAATCAACATTATAGTGGTATTTGGACAATTAAGCTTTTAACATTAAGATGCAAACACACACATTTAAATTTTAATTGCAGCCTCTCAGCACACAAGGAGGACAAGATTTTAATTTTTTAAGAGACTACAAAGTCAATGATAAACAGCAGGACAAAGTTTACCAACTTCTATAAAAGAAATAACATTACAGTGGTGTTTACACAATTAAGCTGTCAACATTAAGACATAAACAGACAAAAAGAAACTTAATGAATAGCAGAACAAAATGTAGTGCAAATTTAAATAACACAAAATGATGAGATTGTGCATAAATCACATAGCCAAGGGAAGGCATAAGAGATTTGTATTTTAACCTAAATTATGAAAAATAACTTGACTAGTTGACGTCCAGCTAAGTACTAAGTTAATATATACAACAGTTCAACCTCAAAAGAGGATTGTCCTAGGGGCAATGTAGGTGGTTCTTTGCTTCCAAGGATTCCATGGTGCAAAGGTTCCATGTCTAGCCAAATCTTGGTGACTCTGAATGAATACACTTGATTCATTGGTAGCTTCTACACGGTAAGCACAATACCGCCTCTCAAAGGCAACAGTTCTCCATGGCCTCAGAACAAGATACACTTCACTCCCTTTAACATATATGTACTGTATTATGGCAAATGTTGGGGTGGCACAATCAACAATGACAAAGAGGCTTGGTCGGTAAGTTTCACCTGCAATGGAAACAGCTTCAACATCACTGACTATGTCATCAGGTGCCAGACCACATTCAATAAGATATTGTCTATGCCTTGAAAGTTCTACTGTTATCTCCTGAGGGCCAAGCAATTCCATCTCTTCTGCTATGTATGTTGTTTTCAGATGGTCGCTTAATGTACTCAACTGATACATTTGAGCCATAGACTTAATAATGTTGATAAAATTGCAGCAAATCGACCCATACTTGCAGAAAATCTGATGACGCCCTTCATACCTTGCACACCAATAACGAATCAGACTTCCATGGTCCCGGAAAATGTCAGGGTAATGTACAAGATGATGTAGCTTGTTTCCTGGTGTCACCTTTTTGGGGACTCTGCTTCGCTGAACTGATGCAGCCTCTTCATCGTCCATAGGGTCATCAGGGTTCTCTTCTGCTTCTTCTTCATCATCACTCAAATCATCAAATACATTATGTTCTGGGGTGACATGGAGTCTCTCAAATAAAGTGTGATGTTCTGCAATGAGTTCTTCTAATCTTGTTATATCTTCTGGGCGGACAGCATCAGAGAATACAATTAGAAGAATGGCCTGAAGAAGATTTAGCAGTTTCAAATGTTCATCTTCTGCGGGCACTTCGGGTACCAGAAAGCCCAACATTCTGGTCAAGCACCACATTTGACAGCCTGTTTGCTTGAGCTTCGAACCTTTGAGAGAATCATCACTGAAGTTGGCACTTGCTTTGTTCTTGATCTCATTTACTCCATAGTTGAAAGCAGGAATTCTGTCATTCAAATCTTTGAGGCTGATATTGTTATCAACAGAGATGAACGAGCGTAAACAAAGAGAAACCACCCAATGGCATACTCCTTCCAGCAAATCGTGGAAGCAATCGAAAATGACATCCCTAGTGCCATCAAAGCCACGTGAAAGATGAAGGGGGCAGCTTTTCCTCACACCAAACTCCGTTTGTCTTGATCTTCTTTGATTCATCAATCTCACTTGTTCATCTAACATAGCTTTGGTCCTCCTCTCACCCACTGCCAACAGGTTAGCTCTAAACTCTTGCCTGGATACCATGCAAACCCTACAAAAATGGCGAGCTGATGGAGAAAGAAGCCCCAATACCTCATGGGCAGCTAACGTATCTGCACACAAAACTGTTAATGTTGCTCTAAGGGCAAAAGGTTCTCCAATGCTAATGTCAATGAGAACACCAGTCTCACTTTCAAGCTTTCTTAACTCTGCCAAAAATGGCACCAAGATTTTCTCAAACCCCCCAGTAGTTTTGATGTCTTCCGAAAAGGCCAAGGCAAGTAGATATATTGATGAGAATTGTGAGCTTTTAACAGGAGGCAAATTTTGAAGACTGAAGTAGAATGCAGCAATCTTGTGAATTGTAGTTTTAGAACCCAGAGGGTTAACTACCTCAATATCATCCCAATATAATTGGAGCCGCAAAATCTTTGGGAATCTGGAGACCAACGGATGATCTCTTGCTCGCCTCCCATCCAAGTATGATCTGAGAATGCCATCCTAACTAGGAGTTTCAGCATCTATTAAATTTCTGATCTTTTCATTTTTCATAAAAGTTAATGTTTTAATAGCTGGTATGTACTCAAAACTCATTGGTACCCTTGTTGGCTCATACTGTAAAGTTTCTGAATGTAACCTATAGTCTATACGATACTCCAGAAATTTTGACTCTGGGGGCACTAAACCAAGTTCAGAAGCAAAGTGCTTAAGCTGCTGTTTCATGGTTCTTAATTGACTGAATGGATCCGCCACATGAAGCTCCTGCAGAAGTTCTCTTGATCGAGGAGTGTCAATATTTTCATCAGCCAAGAACTTCTTCACTTTCTGTCTCATTGATTTAGTAGCATCTTTAACCATCTTGAAACATTCATGTTGAAATCTTTTATTTGCACTACCCGTGATATAGTTGGTTCACTAAATGTAGACACCATTGGCCTGGAGCCTGTCCCGGAGCCCCATTGTGCGCGTCATAACGACGCGGAAAGCCGGGTCCGGGCCACCCGAACGTCCCTTTCCTAGGGCAGCCAAGAGCGAGTGTGGGGAGTGCGCGGAGGCGGCCAAGGCAGGCTCAGGCAGCGAGGCAGGCACGGGCGTCTCCAGCAGCCCTAGACAGGCTACCTGACCCTTGTAATGTGCGTAACCGAACAGCTTATTGCGTTGACAAAGAGAGCCCAGCGATTGTTTCGATTTTCGTTTGTGTTCGTATGGTGTCTACATTTAGTGAACCAACTATACTCCCTGACTGACGAAGATTGAGTGTCATTTGGCCAGCAGAGTGAACTAGGTCAATGATATCTTCATCAGTTGACTCTCCTTCACTGTCATGCAATACTTGCTCCTGTTGATCTTCATGATCTTGATGAGCTGCATCTCCACCATCGGCTTCTGCAATGGCTTCACCAACATTAGCCCCAGCAACTGCATCGACATCCATGTCTACAGCATTGTCATTTTGGGCTTGTTCAATGTGGATTTCCTTTATGTGACGAATTTGGGATGTGACATGTTGGTACTGTTGATTGCGAGTTCCACACAAAACAGGTCGTACATGGGGAACTCTTTGCATGTGCTGTAGAAAGCTCTCTTTTCCTACACAGACTCTATCACATGGAACACACCTAAAGAAAAAAGGGCAGAAGTTAGCAAAGATATTGGTTCTTAATTTACAAATAACATAGACTGTTCAACACGATAACAGTACAATATCAATAATCACTGTAGTACTTACAAATATTCATAATTATTTTCAGTGAGGAGAGCAGCTGCCATAACAGCTAAACAAATATATAGCAAGAGCTTCATGACAGGACCTGAAACAAACACAAAAAAATCACAAAACAATGTTAAATATTTGTTACTAGAATTTAAGCAAAGCAAACAGTACAGCTAGTGGTGGTTTAAACTGAGAAAAAATAAGATTATTTGAGCACATCACTATGAATTACATACCATACTGATCTCGTTAACAGCACCAGAAAGCAGCACAGCCTATCAGCAGTCATCACTTGTTGGTACACAACAGAAAACGGTACATGGAAAAATAAAATTGTCTAAGGCATTTGCACCATCAAGCTGAACACTACAAATAAAACAGTTATTACAATGAAAACAAAGGTTGATGATGATCGAGTTAGTCTTGTGAAACCTCATATCTGATTGAGTAAATTAAATAGATGAAAATAGACTGAAACTGGCTTCAAGTTTGTTTCAGACAATGGAGAACAAAGAATACCCAAATGAACTGGCGGCCTGGCTTCGGGCTTCACAAGACTAGATCGACCAAACATATTTGGCCCCACAATGAACCTAATGTAGCCATTCCATGCCAAGATGTATTAATTACTTACCAAGAAGATGTCTCTAAAAACAGCACACAGCAAACATCCATTCAAAAATCATCATGAAGTTAGAAAGGCACCTGAAAAAAATGAACTTGTCTTAGTCTTGAGATTTACAAAACTTCAATATGGTAAAAAAAAACAATGTTGTTCAGAAAAAAAAATAGGAAAAAGAAAATATACGTACCATGGTTAACGTTTCCTTGAAAAAACTGCTCACACAAAGCTAAACAGAAAATCCAATCACGATTTGGAAAATACACAGCAGTAGTAGAAGAAACGAACAATGGAAATAGGTTAGAGGTGATTCCGATCAATTCAAATACATTAAGTGACAATTTACCAACTACCATTCAAATCGATATATTTGTCAAGCAACAAATTAATTGACTCAATGAACCATCCAAAACGATCTGAACTAAGTCTCCAGAAAACACAGAGCAACTAGACCGGTCCAAATTTACCAACTTTCTGTTTTTGTTTAGTTGTTCTGGGGGGACAAGGTTGTGTCCAGCTAGGCTACGCGCTGTCCGCTGCGCCCATGCCCTATAGAAGCACAGACAAAACGAGTCGGAACGTTAAAAACTAATTCTGACAGGCTGCTCTCGGTCGTCGTCGTCGTCTGCTTGCCAGAAACATCAACTCTAAGAAAACCTTTCATGTGATCGTTTCCCGTCCTCTTCAAGTTATTTTTTAAACTTTCCACGTTTCTTCGCTTTTTTGATTTGTCAACATTTGGTTGCTCAAGTTTCCATAACGTTGTTTAACTGATCGCATTCACCTCATGTTTCCCATTATCTTATTCTGTTTTCGTACTTTCACGATCCCGATATCTTTTTTCTGACTGTCTGTACTTAAATATTGCTTCTTATGTCGTAAAAATTGAAAAAAAAAAACGTTTGATTTTGCTACAAGGTTGTCAGATTCAAACATTGTTATGTTAATATGTTTTTAAATTTTCGAATGCCCTAACTTCGGTCTGTGCAAACAAGTGAGGTTAAAGTTTCAAATCAGTGAGATGAGTGGCTGAGTGCTCGGTGGTGATTCATTCCTATTTTGTCCTTTTAACTTTTTAAAAACATTGAGAATTTGATTTGTTAACTTGGTATCCTTTTCTCCTTTTTAAAATTTTCGTTTTGTTTGCAATGTGACTGTTTCCATGGAGATTAGGCAAATTTCCTCTCAAATCGTTGGCTGCTTGACGAGGTTCTCTGACATTTGCATTAGGCTAACTGGTTACTAGTCTGTTGGCACTTCAACAATATGTTGTGGTTACCAGCAGTTAATGCCAGTTGGTGCCACAAATCAATTAATGCGAGTAAATGAATTCAACTAACCATGATTCCAATCAGCATTTGGCTGCTGAAAGCCTTTTTATATTGCTTTATTTCTTGTGTGTTAGATTGGGACTGGCTAAAGCGAATGCCGTCTATGGGAAGAATGCGTGGTTTAATCTTGACCATATTTAACAAGTATGACTTTAAACTGGATGCAAGATAAGAAGTTTTCAACTACAGCCACTAGCCCCTGTTAATTTTTTATTCTGTTTAATACTTGACTACCTCATGCCTATAAATAAAAAGATATTAGGCCAGGCTATATATGTATTGTTAGTTTCCCTAATCAGCCTTAGTTTTGTTATATCAGTACTCACTGAACAAATTTGGTATGAAACCGATTAGTGAAGTACTCCTCGGATTTGTTGAGGAGGCTGTTTTTTTTATGATTACTGTATAACTAAAAGCTTGGCTCTAAATCTATGACAGCAAAAGACATTATTAGAAGAAGTTTCAGATAATTAGCATGTGTAATAATTAGAGTCTAACTGTGTAAATCTATTTGAAGATAAGATATCTATCCGATAAGTTTCATATCTTTAATTTGATAGGCTGTGTCTCTTGTGTCCCTATTGGTAGACACCTTTTTATTTTGAATAATATAGAAAGAGAACTTTTCTGTTTGATATTTTTAACCTATACTATAGTGCTTCTCACAGTGATCTTAAGTTAGGGTTAAAGGAAAGAATTAAAAATGATGACTTATTTTAATTGACAATTGAAGAATGGCGTTGCACATGGTAAAGTCTTGTTATTTCTTTTCAATCAGAATGGCACTGAGCAGTCTTGCAATTCTTCAGTGAGGGCACCAACCTGAAACATAAAAAATTTACTGTTAGTCTACTAAAATGAATATTATGATAGGTTTTTTGTTGTCTACACAAGCAGCAATAAGCAGCACCGCCGTAGCAGAAGTAGGGTATCAAATAAATTATAAGTACATTTTTGGCTTCAATTTTTAAAAACGAAAGTACAACATTAGCATAAGACACAACAAGAATGAGAATAAAAGAATCAAAAGTTAAACACGATGTAGTATTGAATGCAAAGATAAAATAAGAAGCTTTGGACTGTGTGTATCAACCACGACATCAAAACACTCATCACAGTGAATTGGAAATAGAAAAGCCCCCTCCCCATCAAAAAACAAATAGAAAACGCTGCAAAGCCAAACTTTCTGGTGTATCTTTAGAGCCAAATGGATGAGGTGAGAAAAAAACGCAAGCCACATTTATAAGCAAGGTTAATTGAGCCAACACCACACATTTTTGTATGGTTATGAGAGGCGAGTATGAGGACAGAGCAAACGCATGCAAATTCCAAGTGCAATAGACTTACACTCGCTGTGTCAAGAGATGGTAGACAACGTCACACTTTGAACAATATCCACCAAAATCAAGGCCCTGGCCTTACGACTTGTCGATAAAAACAAACATCTTTTCGCCACTTTCTCATTCTGCTTCTGCTAGCTTACTGGCACTCGTGTTGGGCGTGCGGATAACGGCCTGGCTTGCGTCTAGTTAAGGGGTTGGTCCTGAGACTCAGCGCCTTAGAAGCGTTCCCGACAGCACTGGACACAGTCGATGTTGTTTATTTTTGTGTTGGGTGCTAAGGCACACTGTTAAAAATAACTGTCACCTAACGACTTACTGCCTGATTGACACTCCTGTAATGTAACAGAAATGTTGTTTTCATTCGAACACTCTCGAAACTTGTGCTATTAGGCCCATAGTGGCCCACAACAAAAACTACTATGTATTACTTTGCTGTACATTTACAAGAAAAGAGAAGTTAATTTTGTTAGCAGCACATTTCGTTCCAAAA